TCTTTCCCTTTGTGTTCCTCATTTTTGTTAATTACTAGACAATGGCAGTTCCGGACAAAAGGCAAAAAAAATCTAGGCTTTAGGTGACTTTTTAAAAATCAAGAAAGCTTCAAGCTAAAACTAATATGTAATAGGTCGTGTGTGATGAATCCTAGCAAAGTATCAGGCCCTAGCCTCAAACTCATTCTGGTAACATGACACCAGGACGCTATTGCATATTTCGGGTGAATAGTTAATACATGCTTTTGACCAGTCTAGATACTTACAAGGCCGAAAAATAAAATGTAAAATTAAGTTTAGTGGCTTCTGATGAGAGAACAATTTTATCCAACATAATACATGCCACCTAACGCTGGCAGAGCTGAGCAAGGAAAACGGGCTTCAAAGACTATTTTTATGCCCTCCCTCCCCACTGACTTAATCGAACTACCCAAACTACGAATAGTGCCAACTATTACCAACAGTCGCGCTAACTCCAAAGAGAAAAAGGCTCTGGTCGACTGCTGGTACTAAAAACCACCACGCTCCTTGGCCTTCAGAACCCACATGGGAGCATGGCGTCCGCGGACGCGTACCTTGATGAAGCCTATGTCCTTCGCGTACTGACGGAAACACTGACGGCACATGTTGAGGCCGTATTTCCGGATCAGACCGTGCCGGTTCGAGCACACGCGGCTGTAAGGAGAGAAATGGTATTTTTGCGGGTGACAGGAGTCACAGGAATGCGTAACCAGAGGGCCACCCCCCACACCCCAGACTTCCAGGACCCATCAAGGCCTGTAATGGCGGCAGCGGTAGCTCCGGTCTTTCCCTCACGCACCGCCGGCGCGCAGACTCTTCTAGCTGAGAGTTTAAGCTGTCTCGCGCCCCAGGACTACCTTCCCCTAAAAGCACAATCTTTTCTCACCAAGAGCGAGAGCCCTGGCCGAATTTTCGCGGGTGGCTCCAGTAGAGCTGCTGATGACCCATCCTGCTTTCAGCGGGGCAACGAAGCAAAAGGAAAGAGCTAACACGCGCATGCGCTCTTCAAATTTTGGGGGCCATAGTCTACCCAGAATGCAACGCTAAACGGTGACGCGTGCGCAGAGGGACAACGCTGTTTCCCTAGCGGCGGGAGGGGCTAAACCAAAATCCTGTAGGCGGTCTGAGGCCCAGCCCTGGATGACGTCACCACACCCCAGCCTCTAGTGTCCTCTTGCGCCGCCACCGATCGCCGGGCGCGGTGGCGCGTGCCTGTAATCCCAGCTACCCGGGAGGCTGAGGCTGGAGGATCGCTTGAGTCCAGGAGTTCTGGGCTGTAGTGCGCTATGCCGATCGGGTGTCCGCACTAAGTTCGGCATCAATATGGTGACCTCCCGGGAGCGGGGGACCACCAGGTTGCCTAAGGAGGGGTGAACCGGCCCAGGTCGGAAACGGAGCAGGTCAAAACTCCCGTGCTGATCAGTAGTGGGATCGCGCCTGTGAATAGCCACTGCACTCCAGCCTGGGCAACATAGCGAGACCCCGTCTCTTTTGTACACAAAGGAAAAAGGTAAATTTTAAAATACTTAGTCTTCATCTTTATCAACTTAATATTTTACGTTCCTTTCATTCAAATTTTACACTTTAAACACAGAGGTTTGGATCAACTCAGTACCGACACCTACTGGAACGAACCTACAAAACACCTTTAAATAGGTTGTAATAATTAGAAGTCACCAGTAGGAGTTCCTTTTTATTTTAACAATACATTCTCATTTCTTTTCAATTGACTCCACCATTCACCCCAAAAGTGATACAAAACTTTTAACTCTTGGTCTATTTGATATCTAAATATAGTCGACTAACATTAAAGTGAAAAACAAGTAATAGATAGTATATGTTATTTTGACAAGATAATTTCCAAAATGAAAAATTCTCTGATACTGTCAACTACCAAATTTTTTTCTATTAATACTGCTGAGAGCCTAAAAATAATGTATTATTTTGATTTGATTTGATTTCATTTTGATGAAGCAGAATATATTTTTTATGTTTATATGTAAGCCATATATATCTGAGAACTTCTTTGAGTCCACAGTTCACTGTTCTAATATGTTGTTAATCTATAAATTACAATATTTGTAAATATCTACTTAATGTGTAAAGAAATACGTATTACCTTTGACTTTCATATTAGTTCAAAAGTTATTATATTAGTTATTATATTCACCATCATCCCAGATTTTTAATTACTTTCTTTTTGATGTATTTTTCATACATAAAGTTTCAATGTCTATATATGAAATTTATTAGCTTATTACACTACTTTTAGGTTTACATCAACATTCTTTTAAAGTTTTATGTTTTAATGTAATACTTTTATATCTTCGGTTTTTATTTCTTATCTTGAATCCTTTTTTTAAGAGTTGGTTTTGTTTTGTTTTTGCCGTGGGGCATATGTACTCTCCCCATCCTGCCAGAGACAATGAGAGGAAAAGTGAAAAATCACCCCCCCAGGAAGTTGGCCACCAGCAATCCCTTCTCCGTTTTCTCCTGGGGTTTTGGACATGTGCATGCGCGCACACACACACACACACACACACACACACGCCCCGTGTGAGTTTCAAGAAGCCAGGTCATCTTTATTAAATCCACCTAAAATTTATTTCACCATTTCCCAGGAATGGAAGAAATCCAACATTTACTTCCTTCCAAATAACTAGTTACTTATTCTAACCCATCCTAACACAAACTTACACTATTCTAACACAATGCAGCCTCTCTTAAATATTTGCTAAATTAATAAATGAATAGCATATATTCATTTATTATACCATATATCCCTTTATTCTTTCTATAAATACTCATTGAGTACCTATTGTATGTGAACATTACTCTTGGGCTTATTTGTAACACAAGTGACTCAGAACCCAGGAGGCTTGCAGTCTATAGGTGAAAACAGGCATTAAATAAGTAATTATACAGAAATATTTTAGGCAGGATAACCTGAAATTTCTCCTGTTGTGAACACCCAAAAATGCTGGATGGAAATATCATGTTTTAAAAAGCAGAGTGGAGCTCTTGAGAGAGGAATCACAAAGACTAGGTGCTACGTGGGAACTGAAGAAACAGAGACTGCTCTGGGGAGATTTGTCCAGCAAGGTATAATACTAGGACCTTGATTCTAACAAAAACAAGAAGCAAGCTTTGAGCAAGTATAATTAATTAAATTGCCAAGAGTGGAAATCCAGGAAAGTTTGGGGAAGGAATAAATACAATGTATGAGACTTGAATTCTACTCCTATTTGTTCTAACACTACCTATCTATGAGTGCATGGGCAAATCCCTTTACTCTTTGTGTGTGTGTGTGTGTGTGTGTGTGCGCGCGCGCGCATGTGTGTCTCGCAGGCTTCTTTATTTAATAACAAAGTGTTGAGTGTTATGGGGATAAACATCAAGAGCATCATTTAACTTTGACGTCCCTCCAACCAGTTTCCCCAAAACTCCCTACTGCCACCCTTCGTGTCCCCACTGCCTTGCTTAGTGAATGAAGAACTCAACCCCAAAAGCCCTGGTACATAACTTCAGGTCCTCTTCCCGCCAGCTCTCCCCTTTCCCCGCTCTCCATTTTAAGGAAAGGCAGACACCTCAATTGGAATGCATGGGAGAGCCCAGAGTGGTGACAGAAACCGAAAGGGACCGGATCGAGGAGTACAGCGTAGTAAAATGAGGGCTCCTGTAGCCTGGGATACCAAAATGGGGCCCTGGGGCGAGAGGAAAGGGTACTGGTCCCCCTGAGAAAGGATACCCAGCAGCCTGGAAATCTCGCTGTACATAGTCGCTGCTCGACCTTCTGGCGGCGGTTACAGAACCACACTCAGACCACGTCCTTCTCCAGCCCAAGCTGCTGGGCAATGTGGCCGATCTGCTGCAGCATGGGCTTGGGGCCTCGGGCACTGCATAAACAGTCTCCAAGTTGCTCCCCACGTGGTTCTCAACACTGGTCCGCTTTCTCTTTAGGGCCTGCGCTAGGGTCTCTGCTTTGCATATTTCCTGAAGATTTTCGTTGTTGTCAGCTTCCTCCATCCACTTCTGCAGCAGAGGCTGAAGCTTGCACATGTTCTTGAAACTTAGCTGCATTGCTTCCAAAGGGCAGATGGTCGTCTGACTGAACACCTTCTCAAAGAGAACCCCCAGGGTGAGCCCCACATCAGCCTGGGTATATCCTAGGGTGATCCTCTTCTGCTTTAAGAGCTTGGCAAATTGCTTGGAGTTCTTTCTGCAGAGCTTTGATGTCCTGCCACTCCTCAGAGTTTTGCTCCGGGCTCTCCTTCTCCAGCCTCACATCAGCAAGAGGGGTAGCGCAGGGCTTTGGAGAAACCCCCTCCGAGTTTCTCTCCCCTCTTCTCCCACCTCACCCTCAAGCTGAGAGACCTCCAGGCTGTTTGGGGCCCCAGCTCCATTCCGACTGGAGGCCCACAGTAAGCCATGTCTCCACAGAACTCATAGGGTGGGGGGCATGGAGGAATCCCCCACATCTCAGAGTCTGGCCCAACCCCGGGCCGATTCCTGGGCCACCAGGAGGGCCTTGGAAGCTTAGCCAGGTCCCAGAGTCAATCCAGCCCAACTGGGGCACCCTGGCCCATCACCTCCACCTCCTGGAGGGGTGAGAAGGTGAACTCTGAAGCCAGGTGTCCCGCAATGGGGAAAAAAGGCTCCCCAAGCCCGGGGCCTGGAGGAATGAAGGCTCACCCAGGGACCTCCCTTTACTCTTTTGACTTCATTCAGCCTTGTGCAAAATTAGAGAATTGAATTAGGCCGTCTATAAATTGTGTTTAAGCTCCAAAAATTTAGGACTGTTTCATAAGAGATCCCTCTAGAAACTTAAGGTGGCGGGGCCAGCAGTTAGCATAATGGCTACATTGCTAGACTCCCATGTAGTCCACCGTGGTTTGTGTCAGGGACCCGGTGGCTTAAACTCTCGCCAGGCGCGTGTGCGTGCGTGCCCAAGATCCCAAGATCCCAAGCGGAAAATGGTGGAGAAGGGATTGCTGCGTGGCCATCCTCCCCTGGGGGGTGATTTCTCTCTTTCTGTCTCTCTGTCTCTTTCTGTCTGTCTGGCGAGCGAGTGCAAGCACCCTATAGCAAAAACCTCTCCAAAAGAAAAAAGATAATGTGGCTCCAGTGTGGGTGGTGGATAAACAAATTCACCTCATTGATAAGCACACCTCCAGGCTTGTTTTACCGTTAAAGTAATCCCTGTACTAATCCTAAAAACCTTTCCTGAACAGGTCTTCACTTATTTCCTGCTTGAGAATTTTCATGGTTTTCCTAAGCCTTCAGGCTAAAATTCAAAGACATCGTTTCAACAAACAAGTTGTTTTCTGGCTATTTTTTTCTCCTCTAAAGGTCTCATCTAACATTTATCACACTATCGTTTAATTATTAGGTTGTCTCTCCTAAATACTGTAAACTCATTTTTACTTTATTTAAAATACTTATTTTATTTAACTTTATTATTTATTTTATTTTGACCAGAGAAGGAGAGGGAGAGAGAGAGAAAGAAAGTCACCAGGTCTAGGACTCGAACCACGGTCGGCCATGTGAGAGTCCAGCGCCTTAACCACCACACCACCTGCCTGACCCCTTATTTTTACTTTCTAAGCATCTAGCGTAAGTGCTGGCATATAGTAAGAACACTATAAATATTAATGAATTAATGTATTGAAGCAAAAAGACAGTAAATTTAGTAATCATTCTGGAGAGAAGTAGTACAGATCTGAGTCATATAGGAGGCATTACTTGAAGAATAATTGTGGAAACACCTGTAAGACATGATCAAAGATATCAGAGCAAGGCAGCACTATAGAAGTCTAACGCTTAGATGTGTATTTGTTTCTTAGCTTTATTTAATCTTAGACGATGTTACCATTAAAAACTACCTCTAAGATATGGTTCTGGTGTGCTAGAACAAACGAGTTTATGGTGTCTGTAGATTGTGACCTTTTTTATATTATTTATTTTTAATCTGCCAGAGGTCATGTGCGATCTATCACCAGAGGCAGAAAGAGGAAGTTAGCTCCCCTAAATGTGTTAACTAAAGGGGCATCATGACCTTGTTCTTCAAGTTGTGAACTACAAACCTGAGAGGAAAGTTCACTACAGACAGAAATGAAGGGAGAAGGCAGAAATTTAACTAAGTATCTGTTGACTGCCAAATACATGCCAGAAATAAATGAAAGGTAACTTTAAATGCACTTGTAGTTTGTAAAAAGGAAGATGCTAAAGAAGGATTAGTGGAACCTGAACTGGATTTTGAAAGATTTATAAGTAAGATCAACTAGCATGAACAAAACAGAGAGGAGGGAATGAATATAGTATGTAGGACAGGAAGAAAAGGAACTACTAATTTTACAGAAGGAAAACAAATCTACATGTACTTTTATTCCTTTTATCAAAAATCTGTAGCCCAATTTTAAACTTATTTATTTCCATTTCAGTTTACAATGGAAACTAGCTTGAGGTCATTGAGGGTAGAAGAGATCAAAGGGCACATTTTATTTGTATGTTGGTAGAAAGAAAAATGTGGATAGGTGTTCTAAGAATCCTTGGGTTTGGCCAGCCCTAGGGCCACAGTGTTTGAGTGCTGTGCATGGAAAGCCAGATCGCACATGGCTGCCCACAATTCCAGCAGCTCAGAAAATGTAAAAGCACAGGTGCATGCCCAGAATCCTGAGGGGGGAGGGAGAAACGGAGGAAAGAAGACTGCAATGTAACCACGCCTATGGGAGTGCCTCTCTCTGTCTCTCTCTTTCCTTTTCTCTCTGTCTCTTGACTCTGACACATACGCATACATGTGTGCTCAGACCCTCTGGCAATACACACATACACACACACAAACACACACAAATCCTTTACTTCACAAATAGTCCACTAAGACCAAATATACTCTATCAGATGCAAGTACCTCGAGAATTAAAAGTTAGTAGACCAAAGGAAGGGTGGGAAAAAGGGGGATCAGATGTCTTATTTTACTTTGAATCAAACATTATCTTATTTAAAATATTTTTGAGATTTTATTTTTTAATTAATTATATTACATTTATTCACTGAGCATTGTCACAGCATACAAAATGTAAATTTTTTTATAGGTTTTTGCCATAGGGCACGTGCACTCGCCAGAATGACAGAGAGACAGAAAGCGCAATCCCTTCTCCCCCATTCTCCTCTTGGGATCCTGGGCACGCACACACACGCGCCCAGCGTGAGTTTAAGCCACCAGTTCTGGGACTCAAACCGCGGTCAACTACATGGGAGTCCAGCGACATAGCCATTACTCTAACTGCTGGTCCCACACAATGTAATTTTAAGAGAGATTTTTACTATAGGGCGCGTGTGCTCGCTGGAGAGACAGAGAGAGACAGAAAGACAAAAAGCAAGAAACCACCCACACACACACACACACCCGCCCTGGGGAGGGTGACCACACTGCAATTCCCTCTCCTCCAGTCTCCTCTTAGGACTTTGGGCACACATTCACACACATCCAGTGTGAGATTCAAGGCTCCAGGTCCAGGACTCAAACCAGGATCAGCCATGTGGGAGTCCGGTGACATAGCCATTTCACCATCTGCTGTTCCACCCAGAAGTTTTTAGCAGTACACACCATTGTTGCACACTAAAATCACCACTAACTGTTAAATTTTATAGCTATTTAATATTTATTAACTGAATCTATGCTTCAACAACTCAACATTAAATAAAGGACTGAGATATTTATTTTTCGTATTCTTGATTTCTGTGTGTTTCTATTCCATTTCATTAAAATTACAATTGTTCTTTTATGAATTTTTAGATTTCCCACCCTCCCAACTGTACCTAGAGGTTCAGAGTATGCTTACTGCACTTGTAATACTTCAGGCTGGAGTTTCATGATTTTGTTCTATATTAAGCCCACTCAAAGAACAAAATTTTACTTATTTTTAAAAAGTCTAGGTGTGGGACCAGCAGGTGGTATAGTGGTTAAGGACGCTGGATTCCTTCATGGCTGACCATGGCTGGGTCCCAGACCTGGTGGCTTGCTTTCTCACTTTCTATCTTTCGCTGTGTCTTTCTGTGGTCAAATTAAAAAAACAAGTAAATAAATAAATAATGAATGAAGTTAAAATAGTTCTTTTTAAAAGAAAGATCTAGGTGCAGTATTTTCTCTGTAGCCCTATGATTAACTGTTGCTAAATATGATTAGTGTTTAAATGTCCTCTGTTAAAATGTATACTCAAGAACACTAAATTGGAGAGAGGTAATTTTTTAAAAATGTTAATCACTATTCTTCACGAACCAAGTTACATTTTTTCAGAATAAGGAATCAACAGATAACATCTTAGGTTCAAAACGTTGTCATAAACAGGAACACTCATTTAAGGATAGATCATTTTGTCAGCATTGAAATGAAAATCGGCATTTCTGAGCGCCATTTCGCAATTACGAGAACACAACTCAGACAACACGCAATGTTTAATACACGGCAGAAACTAGGCTAAGGCGAGGGAGGCGCCCAGGAAGCAAAACTGAGGGCAAGACTGTGATCCTGTGAGTGCTTCAAAATTTGCGCCCCAGCCCAGGCACTACCCAGACCCTTTCAGTAACTGAAACCAGGAATCCGAAGGGGACATGAGGACGTGTTTTCCAAGTCTCAGATGCAGTTAAGCAAGACCTTTCTTCCAAACCACCCACCGTTCGTTGCAGACTAATTGGTTCAACAGAAATTGCCACGTCAAATGTTGTCACACAGAGCGCCGCTCTGGCTCGACAGGTGTCGCCTCCCGAGCGAGGGCAGTCCCCCGCAGCAAAACACCTGCCCCCAGCGCCAGGGGACGTCCCTCGCTGGCACACGCGGCAATCATACTGTCCCAGCCGCCGTTCTGTTTCACAGAGGGACCTGCCTCCCCTCGGGAAGCTCCGGGCCCCAGCAGGTGCTGGGAACGCGTTAGGTGTCCACAGGTGAACCCACAGGAACCCGCCCCAACTGTAACAGCCGCCACGGAAGCTGCGCGCGCTCCGCGGCAAGGACGTCCCGCCCATCGCC